TATAATTTGTCCCTTAGTATTATAAGGTAATTACAACTTATAAATCAGCTGGTAACATTTTATCTTCATTCTGCTGGAAGAGACCTTTCTCTTCACTGAAGTAATTACTTTTGACAACAATCCATTGAAGAGATCACTGAAGTCTTCACCAGTTACGTGATTCCAGTCCTTAACTGTAACATGTAATTCCTCTAAAAGAACACAGATAAAAAGTTTATTTTTCAAGACTAGAGAAGTCTGGTCCTCCTTTGCTGTAGTTTCCAGAAACTTCTGCCCCACTGAAGTCAAATCCAGGGTTCTCTCTTTGGAATCGCTCCAGTGTAAGCTTCCTGTGCATCTGGTCCTGTACCCAAGGATCAGCAGCGTATTCATTTTCTAACAGAGATGTCCAACAGTTTCCAGCATCTCTATTTGTCTTCGTTAGAACAATTCGTATCAACTGCCTGTCTTCTAATGTCCATGTTCCTTCATCAGTTACCGTAGAGTCAGAAGGTTTACTCTGCAGCAGCTCCCGCCCTTGCGTGGCCAGCGTGATGTCGCGGCTGCCCAGGCTGCAGCGCACGTCCTTGGCGTGCACCTCGATGAAAACCTCCTCCAGCGTCTGGTACCAGCGGCCCCACAGCGTCCCACAGGGCACCGCCCCACCGTGCTCCTCGAACGGCACCAACATGGGGCACAGCGGCTCCAGGGGCACGGCTCGGCACACTTCACCTGCTCTTCAGGCCCTTTAAGGGGTACGAGGGGTCTCTCATCAAACTCACCTCCAGGCAGCCCGTGGGCTTCGTCAGCTTCGACAGCCGCTCCGAGGCAGAGGCGGCGAAGAACGCTCTGAACGGCATCCGCTTCGACCCTGAGATCCCCCAGACGCTGCGGCTGGAGTTCGCCAAGGCCAACATCAAGATGGCCAAGAGCAAGCTGGTGGGCACCCCAAATCCCAGCACCCCTTTCCCCACCACCGTACCTCAGTTCATCGCCCGGGAGCCCTATGAGCTCACAGTGCCTGCACTTTACCCCAGTAGCCCTGAAGTGTGGGGGATGTACCCTCTGTACCCAGCGGAATTAGCACCTGCTCTGCCCCCTCCTGCTTTCACCTATCCCGCTTCGCTGCACTCCCCCCAAGGGCTCCCCCATCCCCTCCCTTTTTTTTCTTTTAATAATAATCACCAGTTTTATTATTAAAAAAATTACAATAGAAAAGTACCCTTAAACCTATTCCCAAAAACGGAAGTTTCTCTCCTCTCCCTGAGACAAAGTACACGAAATAGTTTGTAAACCCCAGGGACTGCCGCCCTCAAACCCCCCACGGCCCCCGCCCCGCTGACAGATTTTATTTTTTTTTTTTAAACAGTATTATTTATGACTTTAAATATGTAGGTAGCATAATTAGGGATTGAAAACACTGTCAGCTGATCTCTGTAGCCACACTATTCCTTCACATTATGCCTCAATGCTATGCTCTCTTTCTGTCTATTTGGTGGATAGCTGCATTCATGATGGGGATGATGGAAGACTTCCTGAGGTGCAGGTGTATGGAAAACTTCTGTCTTCTTTAAGCTGACTTCCAGCCCAAAGAGCTCAGCAGCCTCTGCAAAGCAGGATGTTAAACGCTGCAGAGCTGCTTCTGTGTGGGCAACAAGGGCGGCGTCATCAGCATAGAGCAGCTCCCGGACAAGATGGTTTAAGGTCTTGGTGTGGGCCTTCGGTCACCTTAGGTTGAAAAGGCTTCCATCAGTACGGTATCGAATGTAGATACCGTCCTGATCATCGAGGTCTGCTGTGGCCCTTTGGAGCATCCTGCTGGAAAAGATTGTGAATAGGTTTGGAGTGAGAAGGCAGCCTTGTTTCACACCATTGGTTATTAGAAAGGGCTCAGAAAGTCCATTGCCATATCTGACTTGGCCACACTGATCCTCATGGAGTGAGATGATCATTTTAAGGAACTTGGGGGGACAACCTAAACGTTCCAAAATCTGCCACAGACCTTTTCTGCTCACAGTATCAAAAGCCTTGGTGAGGTCAGCAAAGGTTCCATAGACACCTTTGTTCTGTTCCCTACACTTCTCTTGCAGTTGTCTGAGAACAAATACCATGTCTGTGGTGCTCCTGTTGGCTCTGAAACCACATTGGCTTTCAGGTAGGATTCCTTCTGCTATAGGAGGTATTAATCTGTTCAAAAGTATTCTTGCCAGGATTTTGCCAGCAATGGAGAGCAGAGTAATACCACGGTAATTTGAACAGTCTGATTTCATTCCTTTCTTCTTATACAAAGTGATGATGACTGCATCACAAAGGTCTGATGGTAGTTGGCCTAGTTCTCAACAGCACATCACAAACTCGTGAAATTTAGCATGGAGTGCAAGGCCCCCATGTTTCCAGACTTCGGGTGGAATTCCATCAACCCCAGCTGCCTTGCCAGTTTTCACCTGCTGTATGGCCTTAAGAGTTTCTCCCATAGTAGGGGCAATATCCAATTCATTCTTCACCAGTTGTGTGAGGGACTGAATTGCTGAATCTTGGACTATACGACTAGTACTGAAAAGAGTCTGAAAGTGTTCAGACCAAAGATTCAGAATGGAGGTTTTATCTGTCAGAAGTGTTTGACCATCTGGGCTGAGTAGAGAGCTTTGGACCTGATATGTAGGCCCATATGCTGTTTTCAAGGCCTCATAGAATCCTCTGTGATCACCGATATCTGCGCATAATTGAGTTTTTTCTGCTAGATTGATCCACCACTTGTTCTGGATGTCACGGAGTTTCTGTTGGAGCTTGCTGCATGCAAGAGGAAAGGCTGCTTTTCTTACATGACAGGATGGCAGTGCAAGGTGTGCTTTGTGAGCAGATCTCTTCTTCCTCAACAATTCCTGGATCTCTGGATTGTTTTCATCAAACCAGTCCTTGTTCTTCTTGAAGGAGAACCCTAAGAATTCTTCAGAGGACTGCAGGATGCTATTTTTAATATGTTGCCAAAGTGTTTCAGGAGAGGGATCTATAGAATGATTTTCGAGACTAGTTTGAAGTTTTGCCTTAAATCTGTCTCTTATTGTGGCTGTTTGAAGATTGTTAACTTGGAGTCTCCTCCTTGGGATACGTTATACATGTGACAACTGCTTCAGTAAAAATCCTCTTGGAGAACAAGATAGTTCGAAATAGTAGCACTGCAGTTCATCAATCAATTTTTCAAGTTTTACAAGGCCAGAATAATATTAGAGGGGAAATTTATATAGTGAGAACAACGAATTCTTGTTCACATTGTACAACAGTCATGGGAAAGTATGCTTTCAGGGCCCCTTTGTCTTGCTTTTACATTCAGAAATGGGCTCAGTAATGAGGTTTGAACCTAAGTGCAGTTCCTGGGCTATTCCTTTGTCATGTCTCTGCCTTAAACACCCACATAGTTTCTGCACTAGCTCTTGATGCTACTCCATGAATCAGTCATGGACCATTTTCTTCTGTGAATGTTCCTAGCAGCCCAGCAAACAATGAAGAGGCTGGCATGAGCCTGAAGAAGGTTGATGGCCTATTTCCAAGTACACTTGGTAACACTGACCAACTCAGCATTTTTAAAACACAGTTAAACCAAGTTCCCAGTCTCTCCAAGTCCTGTCTTGAGGTGAAGTTAGAGCTTACTCCAGGCTCTGCAGAAGTGCCTTTTCCATACCTTTTTTTTTTTAATCTGTATAATACATTGCTAAGGGGATTGCGAAAGGAGTGTAAAGGGGATCGGTATACCTCACTTTAAACATACTTTGTTGTTACCTTTATAGCATCACTCTATGGGGATGAGTACAGGGTGATGAACACATCAGACTTCCAGGTGCGAAAACAGCTGAGTTACAGCCATTGCTCCATAACAGGCTGCAAGTATGTTGCAGTATCATTGAAACAAGTAGCATGTACTGGATGCTTACCACTGCTAAAAACCACTGTTACGAATCAGCATCAAGTCGCTGAAGTGAAGGGCTTAAGTTTTGCACTGCACCAAACTAGTGCATGTAGAACTAGAACGAGTTCTAGGAGGATTTGGATTTGGTCCTGAAAGGGCTGTGGTTTGCTCTTGGTAGCTGCTCATTTAAATTATTAATTTATCAGGAAACAACACTTACGTCATCCTCTTTCCTTAGCCAAACAAAAAGATTCTTGATTCCTGTTGCCCTGTGATTGTCACGCTTAAAGGGTCTGCTATCTGTGCTAAAACGTTACAGTGGATATTAACCAAACTATTTCACAGCTCTGATCTGCCTTGTTTGTACTGAACAGACAGCATAATGCAACACTGGCATGAAGATTTGTCATGGAGTAAGTTCAGACAGCCACTAATTTACTCGTTCAAGTATGTGTTGGGGAAAAATCACTCTAGAGACACATGCAGTATATGAACCACTCTTGATAATGAAACTGCACTGAGGTGTTAACTTATTTTAAACTGCAGTACTATTGACATGTTGCATCCCTCTTTGTAGTACATTTGTATTTCAGTAAGGAGTTGTTGGATTTTCCCCTTGGTTAAACCACCACTTTGTGCTTATCTTTCCCTCCTGAATTATAGTTGGCCCTTCGTTCCAAGCACTTTATGCTATCTGTAATGGGATCTATTTTTGCACTGGAATATCTGTTAACTTTGCAAAAATCTAGAGAGATTTCACAACTGAAATTTCTAAGTTAAATCCTTAAGTGGACATTTTCATTAAAAGCAAAAAAAAAAAGTATATATATTTGTATTTGCTAATATCTGTTATGTGAAGTATTAAAAGGCACTCTGCCTTGTATTAAGTAAAAAATAAAGCTGTTTTAGCACCATTGGTCTTCACAAGTGTCATTTTTACATTTATTCTTTTGTGGAGCACAGATTTTGTTTTGTTGTGAATTTTGATGCATAGCATTCCAGTATCTCCACAACTTAGCATGGAGTACATACTATTCAGGCAAGCAGGGTGGTACAAGATTTGAAAGGTACATGCTTTAAGCTTCTAAACTTAGTAAATAAAGAGGTCTCTAGCAAGTCATGAAAACAGTGTTTGGTTTATTTGTCAAATCCAGCTGCAGAGCATAACAAATTTCTCTGGATGTTTAAATCCCAACTCAAGTACCTGTCTCTGAATTTTCATTACAGAGATGTAAGTTGTACTCTGGACATAAGCATAATTGCCTATGGCTGTTTTATAGTGCTTTCTGTGAGGTCTTAATGCACTTTAAGCAAGCAATAATCATTAGGCGAACTGCACAAAGATACCTCAGAAGAGATATTAAATCAATTGCTCGTTGCAGGTCTGTGATGAACGTCTGGAACAGACTCCCAAGTGCTCTGCAGTTTATAGTTAGTACCTATAAATTGCAGAAGAGGGTGCTCCACACCACCTGACCAGCTCCACTGTAGCACCCAAGTGCAAGTCCAGCTACGTTGATGTTTTACTTTGCTCAGAATTAATAGAGTATCCCAATGAGAGGTCTGATTAAAACTTAACTGGGTAAGGTATATGTGGGAGCATTCCTTCTTAAACCAGTATGGAATAACCACGATGTGATAATTATAAGAGGCACCAAAATATGTTAGCAAAGTGATACCACCCCTGACTACAGTGTTGGAAAAGAACACTTAACTTAGTAGGTTTGATAAGGGATCTAGCTATTTGAAAAAGTATTAAGAACTTAGGGGTTAAAATTAAAGACTGGTGAAGTGTGGTTCATGTCACGTGTGATACGGCTCAAGTTCTCTTTCCTGGAGACGTAGGAACAACATCATAAACTTCTTTTTAACAACTGATAGCAGCATGCTGATTTACACTGCTAGTGATCAGCATTTTGCATCCATTTCTGGTCAACTGAAGAACAGCTCAGTTCACTGGGTATGGGGATCCATGTCACTTGCTGACAGCACTTCCACCTTGTCTCTTTTGCCATCAGTTACACCCTTCAGAAGAAGGTTATTTCAGCGGTGAGCACTGCAGAGGAATCAGGAGTGCATTTTGCTGGGACTCCAAGAACCTGACGCTGTCGCGCACTGAAATTAAATGCATGTTTAATTAAGACATAACTTCCAATGAGAAGCAATATTTTTCTCAGCATGCATGCAGGTAACATGAGTGAGTTCTCTGGATGCATCATCTCTTACCAGCTGCTACGACTCTGGCATCTTCATGGGCTCTGTGTCTTCCCGCTGCCCGGTTATCTGCGCTCTCATTCCACCACAACACATGGACTGAGAAAGTACAAATACAGTCAGCTGAATACTGTTATGCTGCAATACAGCATGCACTGTAAGTCCTAGCAATCTGCCTTCATCTGTTAAAAGCCTTGCAGTTAGCAGAAAGAATTCTCCAGGCAAGTCAGTGGTGGGATGATCCTTTACTGAGGTTTTACACAGTTTGACTTTAACATCAGATCTGAGAGACTTTTAAGACTGTGGCAACCAGCTTAAACCTATTAACCCAACAAACAAAGCTGGGTTCAAGGACTGTTTACAGGACTTTAGTGATCCACAGCAACGTTTTCAGCAAGCTGGCCAATCCTGATGCAAGACCAGGGCTTGCCCCTCATCCTCTGCCCCTTCCCCTGCCAAAGTCTGTATCAGAAATTGAGTAGTACCTCTGTTAAGTAATCCATATTCTGTATGGAAAACACCAATCAGCTTGGTATAGCCTGTGTTGATGTGAGCATTGATTGCAGCTCGAAATGCTTCACCCCACAATGCTGGCCCACCAGGCTTCATCTGGAAAGTAACCCATTCATACACCCCTAGAAGAGAAGGCAAACACCACCACAGGGAAGGAAATACAAATTAATATGTCAGTTCTGGAACAGTGTGTTATGGCCATGATGTATTTATTGTGAAATGAGTACTGCATTTCCCTGCCATTTGGGGTCAGCCAAATTCATGCCAGCACCCGGTGCAAATTTTCAGTGTTGCCTGGAAATTTTGGGAGATTCAGACTACTTTGCAGAAATCACAAGTGCTCATACCTGTCTTCTTTCCGTTCAGGTAGTTACTTCAGATCACAATTGCTGACACTGTAATAGAAAGCCAGACACTTGCTATATGTCTGGTCTCATTCTCCAGCAATGGGCTGGAGATGGACTACAAGAGGAACAAAGCGTCTGAAAAGTCATCTCTCCAGATTTAGGAGAAAACTGGACTGCTTTCAAATTCAACTATAACAGCATAAAATTCAGAATCCTGGGGAAATAAAGAACGAAGATTACTGTATGTATGCACATGCTGAGGGCTGAAGAAAGGCCTGTTCCATTCCACTTCATGCAACAAATTCTACAAATGTTCGTAAACTGGGGAATGGTCAGTACTATTAACATTGCTTTTGCTACAGAGAGAGTTAAAATACATAAGGACAGGACTTTGACATCTAACCCATGACTGTAACAAAGTATGGTTGACTTGCGTGCATCTTTAAAAGGTATTATGCAAAAGAATCAAAACAATGAGTAACAAAGCAAATTGATAAAAGAGAAGAATCTCTGTGAAAGAGAGCAATCATTATTCCCAGCATCTCCAGGAAATCCCCTCTCACTGATGGATAGACAAAGGAAGTCTGGGATGACTGCTCTGACCACTACTATGGCACTGCCATTTTGCATGTCCATTTAGCAATTCACAACCCTGACCATCAACAACCTTAACGAGCAAGGCTCTAGTCAGTTCTTGATGTAAGTTAGTGTAAAATCCTTCTTAAAAACTCTGTCCCTTGTCTGTGTTATGTCACCTTTTTCACACGGGTGCACGTACATGACTTTGTTACATAAGGGGTTATAAAACCATGCAACAGCTGGTTTAAATGTTAAACCATTTTTTGTTACTGTCGGTAACTTTAATCACCAGAAGAAAAGATAAGCTCACCCCCCTCTTTTGGAGGCTTTCCAAGTTGACACCAAGGTACCAGATAAGCGACCTCATTGTGCTGCTTCTCCATCAAGGGGAGGGCTGCAGACATAAATTTTCCCTGCCAGTCTTTGTCACTGGCTAGTGCTTGCCGGACTGCTGTTCTATGGGCAAAATTATCTGTAAGAAAGCAAAAGAAAACCCTAGAAAAAAATGCATTTAATGTCACATTAGACTCAATCAAAATGTTTAATTACGAGAAGGCAAGCTGCACTTATCTAATTTCAAAACTGGTATTTTTAAACAGAATATTAGCTTAAAGCAGATGTGGTAAGTTTCCTTTAAATTCTGAAAAAAACCACCTTTAACTTCTGCTTTATGTCTCAGACTAAAATGGTTTCAAGCCAAGAAAGTTTACAACACAGTTAAAATCCGCTAACCAATTTTACAGTTAAAGGACATTTACATATGGCATCCACAGGCACTACTGGATGTGGCAACAATTACCAAGGATAAGTAGATTCATAGAAAGCACAGTGGATAAAGAAGTGAAGTGGAAAAAAAAATTCAAGATAAATAATAGCCTACCAAGAAAAAAAAAATAATAAAAGTATGGGTTTTTTGCTTATATAAAGTGACATTAAAAGTGTAGAAGGAATGTTTGTGTGTTCAGCTATGTAAAAAGTTGTTAAATCCCTAAAAGCTAAACCTTTTCTTCTTTTTTTTCTTAATTAAAACCAAAACTACTTAATTAAGAGTGTCTGAATTTCAACTGGTTAGTCTGTAGTAGCATCTTAAACAATATACTTATGCAGACAGCTTCCAATATTATGCAAGAAAAATCCAGCAACTGAAAAGGGGAAGGAAGAACCTTAAGAAATATCAGTATTTTGGGACTAAGAGGTAAATATACTAATTATTTTTAACTACTAAAAAGGTATAAGCAGGGGTTTGATGAATCAAGGAGAAAGGATGTTGTAATTTAGACATGTAAAACACTGTTATGAAACAAATAAAAAGTACAGGTTTTTTCTTTGTTTTGCACTTTAAAAGTTTCTCACAGATTATTATTTTTTTTTAGTTTAGAGATAATAACAATAGCCAAGGCTAAAAAGTTCTGAGAAGTAGGACAATTTATTCATCATAGATGCAGGTGAACTCAAAATATTCCTGTTGACAGATGCATGCCCTCTTTGGAAGAAAGGGGAGACATGGCTGCCCGGTCATGACAAAGAACTGAGGTCCTCAGTGACCTTTTTTTGCCTTGGTCTGCAGTGGCAAGTGCTCCAGCCAGACCACCCAGGTCACAGAAGGCAAAGGCAGGGACTGGGAGAACAAAGAACCACCCACTGTAGGAAAAGATCAGGTCTGAGACCATTTAAGGAACCTGAAGGTACACAAGCCCATGGGACTCAATAAGATATATCCGTGGCTTCTGAGGGAACCGGCAGCAGAAGTGGCTAAGCCACTATCCATCATGTTTGAGAAGTTATGGCAGTCCATTTTTAAAAAAGGACATAAGGAAGACCTCCCAAACTACAGCCTGGTCAGTTTCACTCACCTCTGTGCCTGGGAAGGTCATGGAGCAGACTCTTCTAGAAACTACACTAAGGGACATGGAAAACAAGGAGGTGACTGGTGACAGCCAGCATGGTTTCACTAAGGGCAAATCATGCCCGACAAACTTGGTGTTTGGCCTTCTGTGATAGGGTTACAGCACTGGTGGATGAGGGAAGAGTGACTGACACCATCTACCTGGACTTGTGCAGAGCATTTTACACCGTCCCATACAACATCCTACTCTCTAAACTGTAGAGGCACGGATCTGATGGACAGACCACTCAGTGGATAAGGAATTGGCTGGATGGTCGCACTCAAAGACCTGCAATCAACAGCTCAATGTCCAAGTGGTGCCCCTCAGGGCTCAGTACTGGGACCAGTGCTGTTTAACATCTTCCATGGACACAGGAATCGAGTGCACCCTCGGCAAGTTTGCTGATGACACCAAGGTGTGTGGTGCAGTCAGCATTTTGGAGGGAAGGGAAGCCACACAGGGAACTGGACAGGCTTGAGAGCTGGGCCTATGAAAACCTCATGAAGTTCAACAAGGCAAAGTGCAAGGTTACACATGTGGGTTTAAGCAATCCCAGTTACAGGATCAGGCCAGGATTGAGAGCAACCCTGAGGAGAAGGACTTGGGGGTGCCAGTGGATGAGAAGTTCAGTGTGAATGTGCACTTGCAGCCCAGGAAGCCAATCACATCCCGGTCTCCAGCAAAAGCAGCGTGGCCAGAAGGTCGAGGGAGGTGATTCTGCCCCCAGCATAAGAGGGATATGGACCTGTTGGAGCAATTCCAGAGGAGGAGGCCAGAAAAATGATCCAAGTGCTGAAACATCTATCCTATGAAGACAGGCTGAGAGAGTTGTTCAGCCTGGAAAAGAGAAGGCTCCAGAGGCACCTTAGAGCAGCTTTCCAGTACCTGAAGGGAGCATAGAAGACAGCTGGAGAGGAACTTTTTACAAGGGTATGGAGTGACAGGACAAGAGGAAATGGCTTTAAACTGAAAGAGAGTAGATTCGGAATCATAGAATGGTTTGGGTTGGAAGGGACCTTAAAGATCATCTAGTTCCAACTCCCCTGTCATGGGTAGGGACACCTTTCCTCAGACCAGGTTGCTCAGACCTCCATCCAACCTGGCCTTGAACACCTCCAGGGATCGGGCAAAATTTAGATTAGATATAATGAAGAAATTCTTCACTCTGAGAGTGGCGAGACACTGGAACAGGTTGCCCAGAGAAGCTTCCATCCCTGGAAGTGTTCAAGGCCAGGCTGGATGGGGTCCTGAGCAACATGACTGAGAGAAAGGTGTCCCTGGCGATGGCAGGGAGGACGGAACTATATGATCTTTAAGGTCCTCTCTAATCCAAACTATTCTGAGTCTATGATTCTATGACTCACCCTTCCAAAACAAAAGAGGCAATCCTTTACTCTAAACAGGTACTGTGAACGTGCTGGACTTTGATGAGCACACTGTCTCAATATGCAGATATACCCTGGACTACAGCTGGTATCCAAGGAAATGATATAGGTGTGCCTTCCCACCTCTCCATTATCCAAGTACCAGCTTCCTTTGGTCTCCACAAAAAGCATGGCCAGTGCACCTAGTTTCTGGTGTAAGTGTAGCTTTTCTTGGCTCACCTGCACCTTTCATGTCAGCACCAACTTCAACAACATAAAAAGTTGATTATACTGCAAAAAACCTATTGTTACCAAGGCTAAAGCTGCAAGAAAACACTGTGTGCTTGAGAAGTCAGAACTGGTTGTCTTCCTATCTCAGCATAGGCCAATTGCAGAAGGAGTTTAAGCATGCAAACTGCGTGCTCACTGTTTTAAGGAAGCTAAAATTTGAGAACAATTACACCGAGCGAAAATTTGTGAAAAATTATACACACATACGAACACACATAGAGTGCATATATGTGCATATTTCCTTTTTCTCCATTCATTTTGAAATTCTGAAGGCATTTGTGGAGCTGGCCACAAGTTAAAAATATTTACCATGAACAAAACACTCCACCATTCTTCCTGTATTATAACTGTTTTGAGCAGAGACTGCTGCTTTAGAACGTTTCTAACTCTCTCATCCCAGCACGTCAAAGTTGTCCTGACGGGCTCTGAAGTTGTTCTTTTCACCAATCAGTACAGGAGCGATTTTTGGGGGGCACCTGTTACAGTAAGAGCAACAAATAAAAGCCAGCACCTTCTTGCCTATGAGACAGGGAACACACAGAGAGCAGAGCAGTGCAAAGGGTTGCTGGTCGTACCGTACTTCCAAATGTGGAACACCTTATTCATCGCTCCCAGCTCCGAGTACCAGAATCCCACCAGCTCTGAGTGAGCTGTGCGAAAGTGAATGTACTTGTTGACCATTTCCAAAAACTCCTTCATCTTCGATGGCTTAATATCATATGTGCGAATTTCGTAGAAAATGCTGGTATCTTGTCTGGGCCCTGTAGCAAGGAGTGCCTGAAAGAAAACAGTCAGAAAAATAAGTAAAACTATTGAAAGCTGTCTTCTAATTTTTTTTTTAATTAGTGAGATGCTATAGAAGGATTTTTTACTGCAAGCTGGGAGAGGGGTACTTACTTCATGATGTCCAATTCCAAAAAGTTTCTTGCAACATTTTTCTTTGGAAATAGTTCCCACGAGCATTATTTGCTGCCACTCCTTTCAGCAGTGCAACAGACTGTGATGTGTCTCTTATTTGTTGCACTTAATTGTTTAATTATTAACTTATAACAAAGCAGCATTTTCCTCTTCTCAATCCCTTCCTCAGGAAGTCAGCAGCAAAGAGTCAAAGCAATAAAAAGATATTTGACTAAACACATTATTCAAAAGCAAGGCTGCCAAGATGCCACCAAAGCAGGAGCAACATCAACATCTGCCTTTGTTGCCCTTACCTAACCAGCTCACACCACTGCACTGTGTTTTCTAATTACAATCTTATATCAGTATTAGCAAATTACATATTGTTGGCAAAAGAAAGAAAAAGATACAAACACTTGGGGAAAGAGTGATTCCTTCCAACACAAGCTTCCTTAAGTCTGCATCCTAGCCTCTTACTGGCTGCTTCCCAAGGGTTGGTCAAGAACAGTTCTTCTATTCATGTAAAATAAAACACTTTGAAGGTCCCAGACTAAGTGTACTTTTGCAACTGTCTCAATAACCTGGAACGTTCCACTCATCTTAGAAGTAAAACTCAAAAAAAGAAGGCCAAAACACATCTCTGGCCTTAGCCCATATTTGCACAGAGGTGGCTGCAGGATGGATTTTGGACATGTCTTATTTCACAAGCATCTGCAGGCATGCATACCATACAGCTCAAGCCACAGAACAGAACCCTATAGGTTGGAAATGACCTCTAGGATCCTTTTATCTACCATTAACCCAAGAGCGCCATGTCCACCACTAAACCATATCCTCAAGTGCCATACCCACCTGTTTTTTGAACACTTCCAGGGATGGTGGAAACACTTCCCTGGATAGCCTGTTCCGATGCTTTACAAACCCTTACAGTGAAGAAAAATTTTTCTTAATTTCCAATCTAAACATTCCCCGGCTCAACCTCTTGCCACTTCCTCACATCCTGTTAGCTGTTACCTGGGAGAAGAGCCCTACCCTCACCTGGCTACGCTCTCCTTTCAGGTGGTTGAATACAGATGGCCAAGACCAAGGGTTCTTGTTCCCCAATGGCCCTCTGCAGCATGACACATCTAGAATTGGTTCCCGTGTGTCACAACTTCTTGGAGCCATTATAAACCCCCACGGGATCCCGACCGAGCAGTGAGCCTGCAGCAGTGACCCATCCCACGCTGGATTTCTGCAGGAGAAGAGGAGCCCCAATGCTTTCTGCCGCTCAAGGAGATGCTGGGGTGCTGCAGGACCAGTTCTGTCCAGAGAAGGGCAATGAAGCTGGTGAAGGGTCTGAGGCACAGGTCCTGTGAGGAGCAGCTGAGGGAGCTGGGGGGGCTCAGCCTGGAGAAGAGGCAGCTCAGGGGGGACCTTATGGCTCTCTACAGCCACCTGAGAGGAGGCTGTAGACAGGGGGGGGTCGGCCTCTTCTCCCAGGCAACCAGCGACAGGACAAGAGGGAACAGTCTTAAGCTGTGCCAGGGGAGGTTTAGGTTGGACATTAGGAAGAAGTTCCTCACAGAAAGGGTGATTAGACACTGGAATGGGCTGCCCAGGGAGGCGCTGGAGTCACCGTCCCCGGAGGAGTTTAAGGAAAGACTGGACGTGGCACTGAGTGCTGCGGTCTGGCCGACACGAACGATCGTGTTCGGTCACAGGTTGCGGACTCGACGATCTCGGAGGTCGTTTTTTTTTTTTCCCCCAACTTAAAATGACTCCGATTCTCCCGCCCAAACGACGTGCCACAGCCGGCCCGAGTGGATGTCGCGACAGCGACAGCGGGAGACCCGCCTCCCCCCCCGGACCCACAACAACCACAACACCACAACACCCAACACGTCCCGGGACTCCGCGGGCCCCACGCCCACCCGCTCCCCGCTCCCCGGCGGCGCCCCCGCCGCTACCTGAGGGCCGGCCCGGGCCCGGGCCAGGCGGCGGCGCGGCGGCGAGGCGCCCGGCGGAGCAGGGCCGGGGGCAGCATGGCGGGCCCGGCGGAGGCGGCGGGCAGAGGGGCAGGGCCGAAGGGACGCGCGGGGCCCGGGACGGAGGGCGGGCCGGGGCGGCCCCGGGGCGGGGCGCGGGAGCCTCCGGGGCGGGAGCGCCTCAGCTCGGCCCGCCGGCCCCGCCGGCGGGGTCAGGGCCCAGCCGGCCCCTCACGGGCTCTGAGCGGCGAAGGCACCGTTGAGGAGAATTACTCGTCCAAAACACCAGGCACCAGTGCCCGAAACGTGTTATCTGTGCCTCTGCCCGTGCGCCGGAACGCAATAAGAGGTATCCCGACTGCTTGTGGAGACCTGGGGCTCTTTGTTCCCCACAGGCTGCACTGGGACAAGTCACTCTCAGGAAATCACACCCCCCGTCCCCCTACCCCGCCGCCCGGGATCGAACTTCAGACTGATCAAACTGATATCATAGAATCATCATAGAATCATAGAATCAGCTGGGTTGGAAGGGACCTCAGAGATCATCAAGTCCAGCCCTTGATCCGCTATCGCTGCGGTTACTAGACCATGGCACTGATGCCACATCCAGTCTCTTTTTAAAAATCTCCAGGGACAGAGAATCCACCACTTCCCTGGGCAGCCCATTCCAATGTCTGACCACCTTCTCTGTAAAGAATTTCTTCCTAATATCCAACCTAAACCTCCCCTGGCACAACTTGAGACCGAGCCCTCCTGTCTTGTTGATAGTTGCCTGGGGAAAAGAGACCAACCCCCACCTGGTTCCCCCCTCCTGTCAGGGAGTTGCAGAGAGTGATGAGGTCTCCCCTGAGCCTCCTCCTCTCCAGGCTGAACAGCCCCAGCTCCCTCAGCCTCTCCTTATAGGACTTGTGCTTGAGTCCCTTCACCAGCCTTTTTGCCCTCCTCTGGACCTGCTCCAGGACTTCAATATCCTTCCTGAACTGAGGGCCCAGAACTGGACACAGCACTCCAGGGGTGGCCTCACCAGCGCTGAGTACAGGGGAAGAATCACTTCCTTGGACCTGCTGGCCACACTCTTCCTGATCCTCTTTTGCGGGCTCAAACTCCGACTTGTGCAGACACAACCTCTCCACCTCTATAAGAAAGCCCCGTGGCGTTCCTCTGTGGCATTCCTTTGGGTAAATCCAGGGGTGCTCAGCACCAAGCACTGTCACCCCATCACAACTCTGTGCCCAAGTGTGTACTTGTTCCTGCCACACAGTTACCAAGGGGTGGGATTATGTGATGGCTGAGACTGTATATCTTTGCAGAGATAATTATTGGCTAAGGCGCATGTAAAGGTAAAATTTCTTCTGGTGTCGGTCCAATCCAGTGTTTGACCAGTGGGAGTCAAATCAGCTCCTAGCAAAGGATAGTTTATGGGGCACTACCTAAACTAACAAGACATCTTTTATGATTCCTCATAATAGGGGCAGCACACACCTTCCTGCACACCAAACTGAGGGTCCTGCACACCAAACTGAGGGTCTCTGCGTGGAATTAAATGTGAAGAGGAAAATTATGAATTCATGCCTATGGAGCTTTCATGCTTTTTCTCTTGTTAAGGAAAAATTCAGGAAGAAAGACTATCTTTCCATTAAAACGAGATAGAAAGAGCTGTAACAAACAATTTAAAAGGTGCGGAAAGAATGAAGCATCTAAACTGCATACATCATGTCATTTTGCAAATGGTTACATTTGTTATAGCAGCATGAATATTTCGCATAGTTTTTACAGCAGAATCACAGAATCACATGTAGTGTGATTATGGATGCAGTTGCTGCTGGTTTAAAATTGGTTTAACATGGAGTTTTTGTTCACTTATGAGCAAATTGTGCTTCAGCTGAGGGCAGGGAATGAGATGGCATTCTCCATTTAAGGTTCTCTGTTGTTTATCTTATTGTATGGATAAAGTAAGGCTCTTCATAAAGATGTTGTACTGGAATATTCCTTCACATTTGTAAAAGATTTTATTTTTATTGTTTGAACATTTTCTGTGTTTGCTTTCTCATCAGTAATGATCACATGAACCAGGATTTGAATTGAGTAGTCATAAAAAGCAGGTTTTGTTCTTGGTAACCTAAATAGCCAAAAAGAAGCTTTGATTTTATCTTTACTGTTGTGTAGTCAGGGAATAGAAAGGTGAACATGACTTTCATAATTGAGCAAAACAGTTTATGACAGCACGGAGCTTAAATGTCCAAAATTGCATTAGATTTCAGTGAAGGCATGAAATGATTCCCTGAAACAATTCAGCAAATTATTTTATAGAGCAAGTAAATCTGAGAAAACTGCAGTTCAGGAAGTGACTAAGATAAATTTGTTGAGCAGAACGTTCTTTGCAATTTTACCTGGAACTGGGGCTCACTTTTACTTCCTGGTATTTTCTCACTTGTGTTCTTCTAGAAGTCTAGAGGTGTCTCTGTCTTTCCACGTGTATGTGGCAGAGAGTGGTGAAGTGAGAGGATTGTACCTCCAATTCTTGCCTGCCACTCGAAGGTCTGCCTACCAATACACAGAACGGTGAACAGGAGCTGTGCTTTATAGACACAGATGGTACTGAACATCTGGGAATGGCAGCGTCGATCTTGTAGAAGAACCCACAGAGAATAGTATCTGTTACAAACGCTTTTTGATGGGAAGCTTTTATTTTGGCACTGAAGTGATGAATTGTATGAAATCTTCAATTTATGTAGCCTAGACTGGCAGAGCTGCCTGAGTACAAGTTGTCTATTAAAAACTGTTCTTACTGTTGGAAGCCAAAGCTCCATGGAGGCAAAAATGTAAGAAGGTGATTTGTGTGCATTAGTCCATTTATGTGTTGTACTCCCTGCATGAAACCTTTTCATCCATTCTCATTTTCCCATGGAACAGGAAACACTTTTAATCTCATCTGCATGTGTCTTGTTAATGTGGGCAAGGACTGGATAGGGTTTTTTTGATTTGCTTTATCCTCTAAGTGAGATGGTGATAATGAAAGAAAGGTAACCATCTATACCAGAAGGTTTAATGCTTTCAAAAGCAGCTTAAACTTCCTTTGTCATATTTGCTTAAACACAGAGACAGTGACTCAGAGTTTTGGAAAAGGAGGAAGAACAGTACCTGTTCCTTTGCTAGGGAGATTTTCCCATTTGTGTACCCCAGCTTTCAGTTTCATATCACATGAATGATAAAACAAGAAATTTTCCTTCTATTTCCTCATAAATCCTTTGGCTTAAATTCTGTCCTCAGAAAGGCAGTTTTCAAAAGTACAGGAGGGTGTAGCTCACCACACATTTTCTTTCAATGGCAGTAGTGTTTCCATTACACAGTGCTGTGCTGTTTATAGGCTTGAGAAAGGTGTGCAACAAGCTCGCTCAGTGAAATTGTTAGACACAAGCTTTCCACTGTTAGGTTTTCACAGATCTCTCATACTGAGTGCTTCCCTTCCTCTGCTGGGTGAGCAAGCAACAAGTGGTTTCCTGCTTTGCACACAAGGCAACATTCCTGAATGTAATGCAGCCTCTTGGTCTGTTCCCAGTAGGCCAGAACATGTAAATATCCTCTCGTTTCCATTCTCTCAGCTGTTCCATATGAAAATCTGGATAACAACTTAGCAAACTTGGTATTTTCTTCCCTGTTTTTTCTCACCAGTTTGCATTCTTCATCTCATTGAAACAATCTGCATTGTGTATAAATATTTATTGTGTAGAACTGATCAGAATGCCTACAAGAACCAGTGTCATCTCTGTGTTTACCAGTGGTAAGAATCACGTCAGTGTCCTTTGTACCTAGAGCCTCCGGACATGGTTGAACCATAGTCATGTTCAGGTGCCCTACCAAGCAGTGAATGAGCTTCAGGAAAATTGGTTCCATGTTTTTGCTTTGCTGGGGAAGGCAGTGGGAGAGCAACGTAGCACTTTATCTCTCTGAGAGGCAGGTTTATGTTGTTCACTCTGGATTTACCCACTCCACACCCAAATACGTGCTGACATCTGCCGCAGCCCCTGACCATGCCGGCACGGAGCCCATTAGCTGATTTGGCCTGGCTGAGAGACTGCCAGCTTCCAAAGCTGCACAGTGGGAAGATAAAGGGCAGAGCAGGTGCTTATGGTTACATGGAAGGGAATTAAAGAGCTGCTTCATACTGCTTGTTTATATTTTAAACACTTAGGCCTGATATTTGACCTAATGGCACCTTGTGTCAGTGCTTATATCAAGCCCTTGAAGGAGATAAATTCTACTGTATCAAAATGTTCTCTGCTCATCTTGCAAGTAGCTTTAGCACAAACCTGGTAACAGGCCACTATGTCTGTTTGAATTAAGTTCAAAAGAAAACATTCAGATATGTTCTCTGTTCTTTTTTTAGAAGACCTGTTTCTTAGAATCTTCATTAATGGATTTTCCTTTCTTTTTTTTTTTTTCCCTGCAAAATCTGTAATAGTTTAATGATTCCAGAAGAAGGAACATGTTAAAGGTAACACACAGAAACTGAAATCATCAATCGTTTCTGTACAGGAAAATGATTTTATTCAAAAACTCTGAATTAAAAAAAAAAACAACAAAAAACAAACATTTTCCTGTCAACGGGCTAGAAATATTACAGTATTTAAAAACTATATAAATTGCTGATATTTTTTACCTGGCCACTGTAATTGCAGTTGTTCCCCTCAAGTATCCACTTGGGCTTTGTGAATTATATTTTTAAAAGTTGAGAGTGAAATACTCCTTTTAGTCAATCCATTTTTAGTTAATTAGGCAAAAAACAAATGCTCTGCCTGCATGTTTTCACAGATGGGGTGACATAAGGTAGCTTCTGACACTGTGGATATTTAAAGCACAATTCAGCTAAGAACTGGGAAGTCAGGGCTACAAAGAGCACAGGAAAGAGACAACATGAGATAGTGGTTTACACAAGAAGATCTGGGTGGGTTGACTTTTTACTTCACAGGTACTAACTAAAGTAGCTCAATTAACATCTTCCCTAATAAAAGTAAGACTTGAAAGCATGGTGATAAACTGCCAAGATCCTCTTTCCTCA